AAGAAAAGCAACAAAAAGGGTAAAGAAGGCTTCATTCTTTCTTCTATATATATATTATCTACAAAATCTATGTAGTAATGTTTTGTAGGCCATATGACACATGTTTCACATGTATGCAAATAACAAGCACATGGCTAATCTATAGGACAATTTTTTGACATATGCACTACATGACCAACTTGTAATATAATTAGCTAAATATACAATATGTGGCTAATTTGTAGACTAAATTTTTAACTTATCAATTACTTATAAAAAAGTTATTGTATCATATAGTAATTAATTTTGGAATGCAATAAGCATCTAATTGTAGAAAGGTTTAATCTTGTCTTGAAGTTTGTTTTAAAATTCAAAACAATGCATATAGTGTTTAGAAACATACTTTGGCAATCTTGAACAGCATAAATAAGATTTAAATTATCTTAGGTACATCCTATCAACCTTAATAAAATCCTAAATATATCTTATTATACTCTAATCAATTCCAAATAAATCCTAAATAATCTTTAATAACTTTAATCAAATATTAATAAGTTTTTATTTAAATTCTAATTAATTTTAAATAATTCTAATTAAATCATAATTTAATACTAACTAAACCATGATCAAATCTTTAAAAAATTTAAATAATATTAATCAAATCCTAATCAAATCTCAATTAATCATAATCAAAATTTAATAAAATTTTAAGAGAACTTTAATCAAATATTAAACCAACTCTAATCAACCTTAATTAAACTCTAATGAAATCTTAAAATAATCTTAATTAAATCTTAATCAAATCTTAAAGAAGTTTTAATCAAATTTTAATAAAATTATAATTAATTCCTAAGTAATCATAATTAATTTCTAAAATGGATTCAAAACCTCAATAACTATTAAGTTAACTATCAATCTTAAAATAAAATTTGTACAATTTTTAATCTCTGATTTGAAAATAAGCACATTTTTTTAAAAAAGAATCAAAATTACTAATTAAGAGAAAATTTTCATAATCCACTCAAGTATCAGCTAATCTCCTTTTTCAACCTTTATGTTAATTTCTTTGCATCAATATTTTTTTAATATAATATTTAATTAATCTCAAATTTTCACAATTTGTTGAAAACCAAGTTTGCTACTAATTTACTAGATTTCTCAATCCAATTTACAAATTGTGCAAATCTTAAAAAACCTTACTAGCCTTCAATATCCAATTTTTCAAGATCCTAATTTACTTGAATTTTAATAACCTTTAATTTAACCATCCAATTAAGTTAAAATTTATAATATATACTCAATAAAATTATATATTAAGAAAATTACAAATTTTTATTTACAAATTTAATATAATTTTTAAAAACATTGCCAAAATAAGTTCTTTTATTTTACAAAAATATGAATCACTTCAAAATAATCCTAAATTTTTAAAGATCTTACAAAGGCATTATAAACTCAAATTACCAAAAACCATTGCTCAAAAAGTCTACTTTTTTTTGCTATCAAATTCCACTTTTTGACCATTGAAAGAACCTGGCAATTACTGTAGATGTGCAATTTTGTGCCTTATGGTCTGATTTTGAATTAGGTTTAGAACCGATCCTCTCTAGATATCAACATTTAATTTTTCTGGATAATTTTTGCTAGAAGCTATTATTTACTTCTATCTAAAGATGCTTATGATACCAATTTTGCTAACCTATTTTTTATTTTTTTCTTGTTAATGGTGCTACAAAATAAGTAAAAGTCTTTTTTACTGAAAGACAACATTGGCACTTATTAGTTTTACTATCTCTTTAACTATTATCTATACTTATAAGATTATTTGTCAATATATTTTAAAATAAGATCTTCTATAATACAATACTTTCATCTTTCTTTCACTCAATAGCCGTGCTATAACACAACAACATATAAAACCTAAAAAGCATCTAAGAAGCTTTCTATTAAGATATCAACAATTTAACTTGCTTCTACTTACTTCTAGATAGTTATACATATCTAAGTTAATATGCTTGTAGAAATAGATGTTTATTTACAAGAGACATTCATTTGAGATAATATCAAAATATGTTTTGCCATCAAAGAAACTAATATTTTGGATTGTGATAATAGATTTTTTGTATTCAAGAATAGTTTATCTCAATTGAAAGTAAGAATGTATATGGTTATACCATGCTGTTCAATGAAGGCAATAGTCACTTAACTTTATACTTTGCTTTTACTCCCTGATAAATCTTTGGAATCCTAGTGTAACATGTTAAGTGTTTTTGATGGTGTTGATCTAAACAAACTTCATTCACATCATGCAGAACTCTTGAATGACATGTTTAGAATAACAGCATTCTGGATTATTTTGAAAGCTGCTTTGATACCTCCTGAAGAGAAATTGAACGTCCTTTTACTTCTGTCTTGCTGCACGTTTGATTTACCCTTGGTTTAGAGTCTGATGTTTCCAGCTGAAGGAACATTGAGGCATTCTCCCTCAAGGATACTGTAACAACAAGTGAATTCCAGCTTGTAGAAAGGCTGATCAAGTGACATCAACAAGCTCAACATCAGAGACGATAATTTCCAAATTACATTACCAAGCTAGTGCCATTGCTTCAGAATCCGGGGGTTGCGCATGGACATGCACTTCAGTCTGCTTGCTCCAAGGTTCTCCACAGGTTCTCACAGGTCAAGATCTGCTCTGATGTTGAACTTCCTTACGACATGCAGGGTGCAGGTTGATCTGATTGGGGAAGCTTGTTGCCATCCGGGACTACCTACAACTAGATTTGCATCCAAGCGAAGCCCTCATGATTCTAATAAATAAGTAAACAATATTTTTGCATTCGTGGTGTTTAATAGTTGACCAACACCATCACAGTACTATGCCCCCAACCTAGGAGCTGGGAGTATGTCATTGTGCAGAATGCCATCCGAAGGAATTCAATATTCAGCCAAATCACTTCACAACCACCGCGAAATCAATTTCTTTACATTTGTTCCCAGAACTTGAGTGCCGCAGTGACGACATAGTATATATTGTCATGCCACAAGCACATTGCAAATGACGAGCAAAAATGAGCAGCCACTGTGTAGAATATTTTGGCCAGTGCTCTGCCTCATTGCATAATGCGGTAGAGATGCTGAATTGGAAGATAGGATAATCATCCATTCCAACAGAAGCTGAAGCAACTCGGTCAGTAGATAGCAGTGGTATCCCACATTAGAACATCCGTTCGTCATGAGCTGAAGATCCACTAAGTCGGAGGTGAGTGTTAGCTGTGACAGTTTAATGTCTAGATATTCTAATTAAAATTTGTGTAGTGAAAAATCACGTCGACAGATTCGAAGTACTATACAAAGTAAAATTTCCTTGATTCGAAAATCATTATCTCTGCTAGTTGAATCAGGACGCTGTCTTGCTAAACCTCCAGTTGCAGCAACAGCTTCCGTTTCAATAAATGATGTTTAATAACAGAAAACAGAGCAAACCTTGCTTTAGTAAGAATCCCAAGAGGAAGCTCCTCAAACGAGTTTGCCAATAAGTGAAGCAAAGAACTAGGCCAATTCCAAGCTAAGTGCTCATCAACCCTGCAGAACATTGCACTAACATTTTCTAAAAAAACAAAACAAAAAACAAAAGCAAGCAGCGATCCTTTGCTCCCAGCCGGCCATAACTAGCCCAATAAGACCATAAAGCGAAACGGCGAACAGCAACGAGCAAAAACAACAACCAAGCTGGACATTACGACAAGGAGAGCAGCGAGTAAAGCCAGTCACCTACACACTTGAGTAACATCTGTAAGCCATGAAAGAGTCGGAACATGTAGGGTCGGAATAATATACATGCTTCGAAAGAATCGGACATCCAAAGGGTTCGTCCGACGGATAATACCTAAGGCACCACGAGTCTAGCTCGTAATTGTTCAAACCGGGATTTGCACGCCTTTCGTTTTTTACTTTCAAAGGAACAATGCTTTATTGACCCAAGCAACGACACTGACCTCACCACACACACCCCTCAATACCGACCCCAGCCCTGCTCCTTACTCCTTCTCCTTCTCCGTTGAGGCAACACTTCCTTTTATGACAATGCTTGGACTCTCTCAACCAGTCAAAATTGGTTTCTCTTCAACATGTCATTATATCCCTCACACCAACTTCTTCGCCTCCATGTTGTCAATATTCATGTACGAAAGTGATGGTTGTAGTTGACGACTGCAATTGGTTCGAAGCAGAAGCTAGGACCAATTTGCCCATGGATATGGTTTCACCTAATCTGATGATACGTATTTGGCTTTGTAATGATGTAGGTTACCAATTAAAGCTCAGGTATCGGAAGCGATGAGCAGATTGTGTACTTATTGGTGTTTATTCCAGGTTATAAGGATGATCTACAAAGTATTTATGACTTGCATGCACAAACACTTGGTGTTTATAGAAATTTTTTCATACAACAAAATAAAATCACATACAGGCCTAGGGTGCACATAATGTATCAGAAGCAAGATGGGAGGGCCATGAGAAAGATCAAGAGAAAAAAAAAATCATATTATATTACTTTCTCATCCCTCTTTATCTATTTATTAATCATTAAAGTATTCTTGAGTGATCGTAGTCCTTGTATAAAGTAAGTTTACTCATGCAGTATTTAGAATGGTCTTAAATACATCATCAATGGAAATATTTAACAATGCAATATGTTTTCAATAGGTCGATAATATGAAAAACTGTAGAAAATGGTTTACAATTGATACATGGAAGACATTCAACATTTTTGAAAAACTCATTTCCATTTTGTACATGTACACCACGTATACCCAAATTGAAAAAATGATGGGAAAAAGTAGCGAGTATGGGGTCAGGAGCGGGGGGGGGGGGGTAGCAAAGTAATTTCATATTGAAAGAGTGTAGAACTCATTGGGAAGAAAGAGAGGAATGTGTTTGCGGGGGTTTTGCATGCAACTCCGGGAATCCGTGGGGCATGTGGGGGAGGGCGTAGGGATCTTATCATTTCATTTCATTTCATTCCAGTTGGGTTGCGCTGTTTGGGGGAAATTGGGAGGAATTTTCGCATGGTTTTCCTGCGTGTCTGTGTGCTCTGTTTTTCCTCCTCCACCGGGTGTTTAATCTCGGATGCAGTATCGCAGAGGATACTGATGTGATGGAATTTTCGAAGTGAGATTCAAATATGAAACCGGGGTTCGTTAGTGAAATGAGGGATCGGGTGGGTGTGGATGTGCTGTGAGTGAGAGGAGGACGAGGAGGAGCAGTAATAGCAGCAGCAGCAGCAGCAGCAGGTGGTGGTGTTGGTGTTGGTGATGAGGTGGTGAGCCTTCCAGATGATGTCGCATGGCCCACTGCCCCCGCAAGTAAAGGGTCCCCCCCGAATTGAAGAGCTCTCGTGCCTACCGCACTGCCTTGCGCCTTCACCTTCGCCTTCGCACTCGTGGTCCTTCCTAGTCAAGTGCATAGTGGCTTACTGTTTTGTTTTTTGTTTTTCTTGTCTCATCTCCTTCTGTGATTCCTATGCGCCGCTGACTCCACTCTCTTGCTGTACCTCCTACCCGCTTCATCTTTCTCCGTTGCGATCTGCGCAAGGCACAGCAAGCCTAGCAAGGTAGCGACAGAGAGAGAGAGAGAGAGAGAGAGAGAGAGGAAAGGAGAGGCACGGGCAATGACCCATATTACCACTGCCCTTGCGTGCGCTCCATCCTTTTTCAGCAATCTTTACATGTACCTCTTCGTGCTGTGATGGCCACAGCTCACATCGGATTCTCTTGTGCACCATGTTGCGGATTCATTCAGCCCGTGCTTTAGATCCTACGTCTAAGGAACTCTCATTCTCTCCACCCACTCCTGCATCTTTTTCCCCCTTTCCCCAGGACACATGGTTGGGCAGTGGTTGGAGCCTCTCGCGGCAGCATTAGGGTTGGGCTCATTTACTTCCTCTGCTGTGTACAATTAATATTTGAGTTTTGCTGAGGTGGTCGGGAAAGGCTAGGGAAAGAGGGGCACTGCTCTAGTGTTCCCCTTGGTTTGTCTGATTGAGTCGTGCCTGTTGTTAGCCCCCTCATGCGTTTGCACATTTCGCAAGCTGGGCAACGGTGGCGTGAGGTGGAGTGAAGTAGGGCGCTGCTTATGGATGTATTGAGCTGGAGGACAGCCACAAGAGAACGTTTTGCATGGACACCTTGTTAGGAGGGCATGACCTGTGTTTGCATTATTCTTCTTCATTGAAAGAGAAGGTGACCATGAAAAGTCATCGGGATCGCTCATATGCCCGTTGGCGGACTTATGCTCACAGTTGCATGAGTGATATTTACAGAGTAAGGGTGTTGATATTATTATGCCTAGTATTTGGTTCTACACTTTTTATTAGTCGAGCGTCGTCAATCATGGGCTGGAGTCATGATCGCCAGACTCCACGAGTATTCCCCAGGTTATTTCTTCACTTTAAAAGCACTGATTGGCAGCCATCTGTTCTAAGTATTCCGTCGTTTAAACGAACTCTGAAGCAATTTTCTGCGTGTAAGAGATACGTTTACTTCTGTCCGAGAGTCACTTGCAATTGTAGCCTCAGATGCGAGACTCTTACTTGGTTATTGTGGTGGTAGTGGCGATGGTGGTTCAAAGAATGCCGGCTTGTGTTTATTCGCCAGCTATATCTGCTTGTCTATTACTTTTCTATGCCACCTTTTCGCGTCATATATATATTAAATTTCGTATTTTTGATGCCTTACATGACGAGGAACAGGATTGTTACGTGTTGACATAAATCTGTATGGGAAGTTTGAAGTAATAATCACAGCTGTTTCCTAAGGCGTATGCGATAAATTGGTGTTGTAGATTCCTGTCTTCCTTTTTCAATTCCGTTTTCTGGGTATTTGTAAGTTCGTGTACTGGAATTGGCTATTACCAAGCTATGGGGTTAAAATTTATTTATCATGTATCGTTTTTCGTTTGTATTGGTTACAAGATTCCAAACTCTCTCAGCTCTGTAATGTACTCTTCCAGGATGCCTGTTTTTCTGGGGGAAAGCCGTCGTGTTTCTCTTTTGACTTGACCTTATTCCTAGAATCTGTTTCCGTGAGAGTTACTGCAGATTAGAAGAACATGTCTGGCTATTTGTGATCGATGCAAATTTTTTAACTAACCGGAGGTGTATTTGAATGGTGGGATATTGATATTTTATCTTGCTCGTTCAGGTCTGGTTACACGGTGGTAATAAACACTTGGAAGAGAAATGACCTCTTAAAGCGTTCAGTATCCCACTACTCTTCCTGCCAAGGTGTAGATGCGATCCGAGTTGTTTGGAGTGAACCTACTCCTCCTTCCGATAGCCTACGCAGCTCTCTGGAAGGTTTAGTAGAACTTGCGACTCGAAAGAAACACCGGCATGTTAGTTTGCAGCTGGATATTCATGTTGATGATGACTTGAATAACAGATTCAAGCCCCTTGATGGTTTAAGTACAGATGCCATATTGTCAATTGATGATGACGTGCTGGTTCCATGTGGTACTGTGGAGTCTGCTTTTAGTGCGTGGACGAGTGCCCCGAACAGCATGGTTGGGTTTGTTCCTCGCATGCACTGGATTAAGGCTATGGTGAGAATGTCTCTGAACTTAACAGTGTCCATCAGGGTGATTGTCTTTGATGCATGTCTTACTGTCAGCTTCGCGTATTTGGAGCACCACAACATGTTTGCTGTAGGTAGGATTGAGAGAAGTCTTGTATGATATAGTTGCATCAATTTAGTTCTTGCTAGTTGGCAGCTCAGGTTGTCAGGAAGTTGGCTAATCGGTGAGGTATCTTTCACACCGAAAGTAAAGGTTTTTGCAGCTGCGTTTGTTTGCTGCATTTTGAAGCCTCGACACAGATTATTTTTGGACCCTGTCTTTTACTATGTCAATTCTTTGTTTCTGCTTTACATCCTAGAAATGGTGGGCATTGTCATTGTACTTTCTATGAAAAGGAATTGCACTTAACCTACCGTTTTCATTAAGTTAACTTATTTTCGAATTTTCAAGTAACAGCTAAATAAACCGTTTTCTCGTGACAATTTGGAGCAACCAAGTTAGAAATATGAGTATTTGAAACAGGAAGCGACGAGTGATTTTAAATTACCATGGGAAATGAAAGTTTATCTCGGTTTCTCACTTTTACTAGGTGTCAAATCGTTGAGACTTTCTTTCTTTGCAATGTTATCTTTGCTAACAGTCTATTAATGAACCTTTCATGGGTTCGGGATTATGCTTATTCACTTTTCTGTGTAATTGATGCACAGAATCTTCCCCTTGGGAATTATGAATACAGTTATGGAGGATGGTGGTCAGTGTGGTGGATGGGTACTTATAGCATGGTGTTATCAAAAGCTGCTTTTATTCATGAGAAGTATTTCGACATGTACACAAATCAGATGCCTGCATCAGTTCGGCAGTACGTGAAAGAGAAAAGGTATTGAGAAGGTATCTTGGAGTAGTAAGGAAGTCGTAATTTTTGTTTATGTCCACATGATTACTGACGGGATACTAACTTCTGTTCTTGGATTCAATGCGAAAGTGATAAGAGGATCCTGTTGTTGACTTTGATGTTGGTATGCAGGAACTGCGAGGATATTGCTATGTCTTTCTTGGTTGCAAATGAAACTGGCGCTCCTCCCTTATGGGTAAAAGGTAAATCATTGTGCGCCGAGTGTATTAAAATAATGTATCATCTTATGTGTGTTTAGAAATTTGAGTCCTATATTGGTGTTATCTGTCGCGATTAAATATTTTGGAGAACTTCGTCTTGTCTGTGGTGCTGATAAACTTTTGTGTTCTGTTTGCATTCAGATCAATTGTTAATTTCAGCTTAGAATCCACGCAAATTTTATGTTATCTAATTGAAGTGTATTAGTACTTAGTAAGTGTGTGCTGTCGTTGCTGGTTTCTGTGCATGGTTTGGCAGGTACTTGGGAAGTATTTGAATATGACGCATAACAGACCTTTGTTAACTGTCCGTAGTTGTGCCATCTCTTTAGAATGTATACTTCAGTTCAATTTTTAAAATTCCTATGTGCAAACAGAACAATGACCATATGTTCGTTCACTGCGCAGCCAGGATTTACGAGATTGGATCTACAGGGATTAGCAGCCTTCAAGGCCACAGTGAACATAGGACTGACTGCCTGAACCATTTTGTTTCACTTTTCGGGTGCATGCCCCTTATCGCCACCCATGTGAAGGTTGCCGATGCACGACATTTATGGTTCTGGTGACTTGCTGTACTACCTGTATCTTCTAATTTGAGTTCATTATAACTCTTTCAGACACGGTCCATTTTCATAGGATTGTATTCTTTCATGTAAATACGGATTTTAGGTTTTGCTACTTTCTTTGTTTCATTGTTTTGTTAATTGATATGTTGTACTGCTCACCTGCAACCATTCTAGACGCAATGTACTATCCGTGGGTGGTAGTTTGGAAACCAGTTATGTTGACTATCATACTGTAGAACATCCGGAGCTTCCGCTTCATAATCTCAGGCATGTTGGATCTTGTGAGGATGTTCCCGGAGTTTATTTTTGTCTTGAACGCTGTGAGGGTTCTGTTTGCTTGCTATCCGGACACTTGCGTCAAGGTTTGATGCATGTAATATGACCATAAGAACTTATGCTATGCTCTGATGAGTGTTTTGTAGGTTCAAGTTCACTTGTCGTTTGAAGTAACTAGAATTGTTTGCCGATTTATCTAATTCTACGATATTTCGATACATTCAGTTTATATCATGTTGTACTGGACAAACTGATTGATGATGGAATGCTTGTAGAGTACAGAGATCTGTGTAGTGCAAAGCACATGTGGTTGGGGTCCAGTAGATGACTCCAAGTGTAGGAAGATGAGAGAAACTCAGCAGTTAAAGTCTTGGATGGTTAGTACTTGTTTGCAATTATTTAAATGAAGTCAATTGCTGCAAATTCAAACGTCCACTTGCATATTGTACTGGTGAGTGCAGGTAGAGTGTCCTTAATATCCGTAGGCCTTTTACGACGACTCCCTTTTTTCACTATTTTTTGTTATGATAGTTGTATGAACTTTGAGCTTGGAGCTGTTTGATGGATCACTGTTTTTCAATAAGCTTAAATAGACTACCTTGCTACTATTTAAGCTTATTAAAAATTGAAGCGTTTCAATTTTTAAGCTCTTGATATAATTGGGTGCATGTGCAAAGTTTCTGTGCATGTACACGTGCAAGAAAATTTCAAAATGTATAATTATTTTTAGGTGATGGTTAATTGTTCATTGTGTTGAATACTTGTGTAAATTATTCATTAGAAATTCATAAATTCTTCCATAATTGCCTCAAGTTTGGATTTATTGAATATGATTTGTTTGTGTCGAGTTAATAATGATAACAATCCATTCAGTTTTACTATGTACTCCTCCAGTTGATTGGAAATATTACGAATTGGCTTGATATTCAATTAACCTATTTATAGAAATTAATGTAATTTTTTATTTTTATTTTATTTATTTAATAAAAGAATACAATTTTTTTCAAGTTCGAAGGTGAAAGTTTGATTTGATTATTAATTTTAACATCGTTTAAAACATAATCATCCATGTAAAACATATAATGAATTGAGGTAAATCCTAATGTAATGTTTAGTATTTGAACTTAATATTTTACATGTCCTAAAATTACTATTGTTTCTAATTTGATATTTTCTAAGATACTACAAAATTTTATTACATATTCATATGCATGGAAAGTAAAAAAAAAAAAAACCATTTCTAGAAGTATAAAAGAAAATATGAATTGAAATAAGTACTTTTTGTCTTTTTGTAATAGTATTTAATTTAAGATATTAATATATACAAAAAAAATGTGATATTTTAGCCTCATCTAATTATGATTTATTTGTTATAAATTTTTCTATTAATCCTAATTGAAGCAACAAAGCATTAATTTTGAAGGAAAAAGATCATTTTCAAATTTCAATGCTACAAGCAATAGGTGCTGGATCTAATTAGATTAGAAGCTACAGGACCTAGTAGTAGCAGTGGCAAGACTCGATAGCAAAAGTAGGATCTGGCAGTAGTGATGGGACTCGGTAGTGGAAGCGGGCTAACACAGTCCAAAAAACTCTAGCAAGACCAAGGAACTCCAAATTTATTTTTTTTCAAATTTTTAGATATAGTTTCACACAAAAACCTCTAAAAATCATAATTTTTGGAGTTTTGAGTTGAATTTTTTTGAAAATTCTAGTGATACAATTTCATATATTCTAAAAATATTTTAGAAATTTTTGGAAATTCTTTAAGATTTTTTTATTAATACTCAAAAAGTCTATAAGTAGTTGTGAAATCTTACCTAGATTTCATTTCTATTCACCTTCTATTTCTTCTTCCATTTCTCTAATTCTTTTATTTAGGGCGTATTTCTTACAAAATTACAATAGAGTACCACATTATAGAAAAATTTGATGGAAACAATTGGCGCTTGTGGAAAAAAAAAATCCAATTTGTCTTCATTGATAAGGGTTTATGGAAGGTTTTTTGAAGAAAATACATAAAACCTACTGGGTCACCCATAGATCCAGAGGAGTTGGAGAAATGGGAGGATATAGACCAAAGGGTATTATTTGCAATTGTAATTTGCCTATATTTGATATATGTAAGGTCTTTATATGATTACAAGAAGGATGTCAAATACATATATTGTGGCAAAAAAGGTCATTATGAAAGAGAGTGTCAAACCAAGGAGAAGGACAAGAAAGTTAAAGAAGACTTTTAAAAAAGAGCAGGCTATTACAATAGACAAGAAAGATTAAAAGGATGATGAATCTATCTTTGTAGCTGCGTTATCTATCACTATGAGTGTCAAAGAATGGTACATTGATTTTGCTGCTTCTCAGCACATGACATGAAATTGAAGTTGATTTTTAAGTTATAAAGACCTATCACAAAATCCTAAAGTCTTTTTAGGTGATGATATTGGTCTTTCCATTAAAATAAAGGATTAATTTTCTTTTCAATTTTCAACAATGTTTGCAAGGATGTACGTGATATCTTATATATTGAAGGATTGGCTAAGAATTTTCTTTCTGTTAGCAAAATGACAGATCAAGGTTACAAAGTCAATTTTAACATTAATACATGTCTCATGAAACAAGACAACACAACCATTAAAGATGTTAGACATGATAGCTTATACAAGCTATTGAGATCTTTAGATGAAGATAAAAAGACTTCTCTTGTTATTGAGATGAAACAGATTTTGAACAAGGCTGATTTTTGGCATCAACGATATTGTCTTGGCATTTTGGGCTTGAAGAAACTACAAGCAACTAATATGGTCACTGATTTGGACATAAGCAAGGACACAAAGTTAGAGTTTTGCAAGGGATGTATTCATGATGCTTTTCCAACAAAAGGTGGTGCTTGTGCAACAAAACTCTTGAAATTGATACATTTCAATGTAAAAGATCTTGTGAAGACAACATCTCATAAAGGAGCAAAATACTTTGTTATTTTTATTGACGATTTTTCAATTTTTTTTTTATATATTTTATGAAACAAAGGTTTGAAGTATTTGATAACTTTAGGGTTTTTAAGGCTTCAATTGAAAAAAAAATAGGCTTAAAGATTCAAAAATTGCATACAGACAATGGTGGAGAACATACATTTAAGGCCTTTAAACAGTTTTGTTAGCAATATGGCATTGAAGATAATTTTCAATACCTTATATGCCTCAAAAAAATGGAGTTGCACAAGGCAAGTATTGGATATTATTTGAGAGTACGAGGTGTATATTATAGCATAAACAACTTTTGAATATATAGTAGGTAGAAGCTATTAATACTACAACATAGTCCTTAATGAAGCTCCTACAACTGCTCTAGAAAGAAAAACACCCAAAGAAGTTTGGTCAAGTATAAAACCTTGAGTACAATACCATTGTATCTTTGGATGTAATACAAATATATATATGTTTCAGATAAAAAACACACAAAACTTCGCTCTAAAAGTCAAAAATATATATTTTTGGGCTATGTTGAAGATATTAAGTGCTATTGTTTATATGATGTTGAAAATGGCTCCATAATTAAGAATTGTAATATTAACTTTGTTGAGTGTGAAGATTCTAAGTAAATGGAAGAGACTTTGGAGGTTTTTATTGATATATCTCAAGAAACAAGGATTAAAATTGAGCCTATAGAATCTTCATCAAATTCAAAAAGTAAAATTGAAGATACAATAGGAGATTTGGACATTAATAAAGGTCACCAATAATTAACTATGGAATCTTCATCTTTTGTTTGAGATATTTGAACTTAAGCTCAAACACTTAGATAATAATGTGTGACTTTAAATCCACCTCTAATCCTACCTCCACTTCCACCTTTACTTATAATAATGCATACAAGAGCTTGATTTTTGGCACAACAACAAATGATTGATGAATTAATATTGGCTTGGATTCCTTCAAAGTTATTCATATCTTTAGCGAGTATAGCACATACTTTTTACACAAGCACTGAAAAATTAGCTACTATCACAGAAGCTATGGGAAGGAATGATACTTGGAAGTAGAAAGAAGCAATGGATTGAGAGTATCAAAGTCTCATTGACAACAAAACTTGGATTTTAATACCATTACTAGCAAATAAAAAATCAATTAGCTAAGATGTTTGAAAATAGATTGATTTTGAAAAATAGATAGATTTGGTTTGCATATAGATTTTTAAGATCAAATATAATGCAAATGATTCAGTGGAATACTACAAGGTAAGACTCATTGCAAAAGGTTATGCATAAAAAAAAGATATTAATTACAATGAGACTTTTGCTTTAGTGGCAAAAATAACCTCAATTTATATACTTCTTGCACTAGCTGTAGTTGAAGAATTGAAAGTTCATCAAATAGATGTCAAGACAACATTTTTAAATAGAAATCTTAAAGAGGAGATATATATGGAGCAATCAAAAGGCTATATATTAGAGGGTGAAGAGGGATTGGTGTGTAAATTCTCTAAAAATCTCTATGGGCTCAAATAATCTTCTAAGGTATGGTATAGAAAGATAGATGATTATTTTGCCTCACAAAGTTTAAAAAGAAGCCATGCTCATCCTAACATTTATATATTGTGGACAACTAATGGATTCTTCATCATCATTACACTCTATGTAGATGACTTAATGCTTGTGTCTAATAATAAGGAAATTTTCTTAGAAATGAAGAAAAACTTAGCTAAGAGGTTTGAAATGAAGGATTTGGAAGAAATCCACTATATTTTGGATATGCAGATTATGAAAAACCAAAAGATTTGTAAAATCTACCTTAATTAGTAAAAGTATGTAAAAAATATCCTTGAAAGATTTAGCATGAAAAATTATAAATTTTTAGCTACACCTTTGAATTCTAATAATAAATTATTAAGAGACATGAATCTATAGATTCTTGAGTAGATTGAAGTAATGAAGGAGATTCTATACTAAAATATAGTGGGCAGTTTCGTCTATGTAATGATAGGCACTTAGGCTGATATTTCATATCCAATAGAAGTTGTTAGCCAAT